GGGATGGGCTGGGATGGGGCTCAGGAAACAGGGATGGGCTGGGCTGGGGCTCAGAAAACAGGGATGGGGCTCAGGGAACAGGGATTGACAGGGATGGGGCTCAGGAAATAGGGATAGACAGGGATGGGGCTCAGGAAACAGGATGGGGCTCAGGAAACAGGGATAGAGAGGGATGGGGCTCAGGAAACACAGGGAGCAGCAAGGACTGGGACTTACTGGGATAGTGGGATGGGACTGGGACTCACTGGGATGGTGGGATGGGACTGGGACTCACTGGGATGGTGGGATGGGACTGGGACTCACTGGGATGGTGGGATGGCACTGGGTCTCACTGGGATGGTGGGATGGCACTGGGACTCACTGGGATGGGCAGGAATGGGACTGGGACTCACTGGAATGGTGGGATGGGACTGGGACTCACTGGGAGGGGCAGGAATGGGATTGGGACTCACTGGGATGGTGGGATGGGACTGGGACTCACTGGAGCGGCTTCTCCCCGGTGTGGATGCGCCGGTGGATGAGGAGGTTGCTGCTGGTGTGGAAGGAGCGGGCGCAGAACTCGCAGATGAAATCCCACTGGTCTGGGGGGGAAAAGGTACCGGGATCAGATCCCCTGGAAGGAGCTGGGATCCCCCTGGAATGCCCTGGGATCCCTCTGGAATGTCCCCCTCACCGCTGTGCAGCTTCTGGTGCTCCTTAAGGTGCTTCTTGAAGTTGAAGGATTTGCCGCAGGAGGGCTCGGGGCAGGTGAAGGTTTTCTGGTGCACGTGCTGGTACTTCTAGTGGTGCTGCAGGAGCAGGAAAAACCCTCCTCAGATCCCAAATCCCAGCCCCAGGGGGGCCCAGGGTGGGGTTTGAGTGGTTCTGAGTGGTTTTCAGTGGGTTTTGGGGGAGTTTGGGTGGTTTTGGCAGTTTTTGAGTGGTTTTGGGCAGGGTTTGGGCGGGTTTGGGGCGAGTTTTGGCTGATTTTTGGTAGTTTTGGGCGGGATTTGGGTGGTTTTGGGTGGAATTTGAGTGGTTTTGGGTGGGTTTCAGGCAGGTTTGAGGGTCTCATGTTCAGGTACTGGCGGTTGGAGAAGATCTTCCCGCAGCCCTCGAAGTTGCAGAGGAGGATCTCGCGCTTCGCCGCCTTCCTGGGAAAACCAAAAACCAGGAAAACCCTTCCCAGGGCAGGGCTGGAAAAACCTTTGGGACACTCCTCTGGCTCCCTCCTCCACCCTCCTCACCCCTTTTCCCTCTTTTCCTTCTCCCCTTGGAGCTGCTCCCTCTTTTTCCCCCCCTAAAATCTTCCTTGGAGCTGCTCCTCGTCCTCCCCACGGGCTGGGAAGAGCCCCGGGAGCTCCTCCAGCCCCTTCCCTTCCCCTTTTTTTGGGTACCTGATCCTTTTGGGGCCGATCTGAGCCTCCTCCTCGTCCTTCCCCTTCGTCCTCCTCCGGTAGCTGCAACGGGAAAAACCTGCATGAGTCCCCTCCTTGTCCCCTCATTGTCCCACCAGGAAATTCCCAAGGAAATCCCACTTTAAATTCATCAGTTCTCTCTTTTTCCCCTCCCATTTTTTCCCATCCCTTGGGAGCAGGAGGTGCTGGAACAAACACACGGCTCAGGAGTCGAAAAGGGGGGAATAAATCCTTTATTTGCTCCCAAAAAAATCCATTCCCAAGCTTTGGATGCAATCCCAGGACGCTGATCCCAGCCTGGATTGATTCAGAATTCATCCCCAGCTCCCCCTGGGAACGGCTGGTGACCCTGGAATTGAGGGAAGATCCGTTAAAAAAATGGATTAAAGGGGTTTTTTGGGGGCTGGGGGCTGGGATTTGGGTCCTAAATGGGTTAAAAAGGGGTTTTTAATCAGCTCAGGGTTGGCTTTACTGGGGGGAGGGAGGAGAGGAGGAAGCTCTTGCTCTGCTCACAAATCAGGATTTTATCTCCTGCTGGAAGAA